GACAGCAGCCGAAGGGAGTTTCACTGTCAGCTATTGAGAGTTGCAACTTTGCTGTTTTGATCAGTGTTCTTGCGTTTGCGGCGCGAGTTGTATAGGTGTTGACTGTGTTGACTGTGTCAACAAGCGGGTGCCTAGATTGTGCCAGTTGAACTGGTATCATAAACTTTCTGTTTGCAAGTTTGCCATGCAGGTTGGTATACGCGTGTGTGTTTTCCTTTTACCACAGAAGAAAGATGCCACGCATGCCCTGAACCATGCGATGTAGCAGAGTCAGACATAGCACTCAGCTAAGGAGCTGCCGTATGATGTCAGCCAGGCTGGCTTTCGATGAGCATGGCTGTGTCGGGCTTGGGTTGGTAACTTGCGAATGCTTCGTTGAGCGGTTTGGCGGCGTTTGCCTTGTTCGGGTCGCGCGATTGCATCTACTCAATTATTTTTTACTAGAATTTGTGGATAGGGATCCAGCATGCTGGCGAAGCAGATCACCAGCGTATGGGCGTATGAAACTCATGTCGGCGCTCGCCATTGCGGAGCGCGCCTTTCTGCTGCACTGACGGCTAATCCGAGCCTTGCATTTGAAGTCGATGCCCCCATCAGGAGTTCATGCAGTTTAGGGCAGTGCAAATGCAATGCTTGCAGCGAAGGCAGAAATCCAGTTGACAATGGGATTCTCAAAACCCTGGCCATGGAATGCGTAGGTGCTGACGTCATGTTTGCACGTCCCAGACATGACCATTGGACAAGCAAGAAAACAATGCCTTTGCAACTCGTGACTTCCATTTACCAACAGTTGGCTCAATAGAAGAAATGTGGCTTTTCATCGGAGGGGGGGGGGGGCAAGTGACAACATGGCCTGCACAGAGGGCCGCAGGTGCGCAGGACTGGGTTTTAGTAGGGTGCTGCTGGCTCATTTGCAAACTCGGCGGCTATTCCTTGGTCATTTCACAGAAGAGTTGGGGATGTTGCTGTGCTTGTTTGAGAAGAACAGGTCACACTGAGACAAGAATTGCTGTCTTCCAGCCATTAGTCGACACCAAATTGGCATGAACAAAGCTGCATTCTCAACCTTCTGTGAGGCAACAAGGTCGGACAAGTTGGAGTTGTTCGTGTAACACCTGTTGAACATGAACGAGTGTTGGCGGCTGCCTTAATTTTGCAGCCAAGGGTGGGAGGCTGCGACGGTTTTGGATTTACGTACTTGTTTCACCAGTGGCAATGTTCACAATGGGGCGACGACGAATGCCAGCTTTGTTTGACCAGGCCAACTTCGGCGACCATGGCTACACCGGGTATCGCGTTGGCGGCAGTGTAACCGCGCACGAAGCGTGACCTGGCCATCAGAAGAAATGGCTGGCTCAGGCGCCCTTCTGAGACGACAAGTGTTGCATGACACCAGAGTCAAGCTATTTGTGTGCCCAGACTTGAGATGTCTTGTGCTGTTGCGCATCCTGGGACTCGGCTGAAACCTAAGATGAATGCCTATGGCTACGATATCTTGTTGTGTTCAGGGGAGGGCAGGGGGCGGGGAGATGCTGCGGCATTAGGATGGTGGGTAAGGGAGTGAGTTGATGGATGAATCTTCTGGATGATCTTTGTGTCAGATGAACTGCAAAGCCCAGATTTAAGCTCTTAGGTACGGCGTGGGCGTGTACCACTACTTTCGCGACAACATCGTCACAGTGCCGTCCGCCATCATTGCCCCGCCCGCACTGGAGTCCTCATTTGCCTCCCCGCTGTCTGTCCCTTTGGCGAATGTTTGGTCAAACTTTTCAAAGGGGTTTGTAGTTTAGGCTGCGCACTTGTCATGAACACGGCTTTGTGGCTGCAGCAGTCAAACATGATGGCTGCAGCAGCAAGATATGTTTCTCCGAGTCTAGTGGGCTCAAAGGGGATTGCCATTGGCAGGAAAGAAAAGGACAGCCACAAGCAATGTGTACATAAAGAAGTATGCGTGCCTGTAAGTTGGTTAGTTTGTATTGTGTTTTGTTCATACTCACCCACGTCACTAGCTACCCGTCCGCCGCTGTGCTCGTGTTTGTGCATCAAATGAAGCGGTGGTAAAATAGTTATGAAGCTTGGCACCTTTGGCCAGGCAAACAAGCCCCACCCTGTACGGTACAATGCATGTTGGGCCGGCCTCCACCCCAAGGAAGACACTTGCGGCACTGGCCGGTGATGCTTGATGTCTGTAGCAACAAGTCTCAGCCAGCGGCGTTGTTGGCGGGTGCTGGTATGGTCTGCTGGCTGCGCGAATTTTTGAGGTCTTCCTGAATGGAAAGGGCACCATCCTCCATGTGCTGAATGCCGCACGGCTCGAAAAGCTGGAAGAATATCCGGTTGGGAGCACCAGGGGGAACAAAGGGTGCATGTGGAGAGTAAGCATCCTGGACCGGATGGGAATGCGTGTCGTTTTGGGGCTTTAGGAGTGGATGGCATTGCACAAATTGCCAAACAGATCCGTTCCTAGCCCGCAACAGTTAAGCTCGACTTGATGCTTAGTAATTGGACAAGAGCTACGGGTTGCTGCGGTTATCCCCCGCTGTTGGCACACGATGCGGGCGCTTGTATCACGCGACCAGGCTAAACATTCTACCAGGCTACCACTTCTTTTTGGGTGCTTGTTTTGGGGGCCGGGGGGGGAGACAACAGGCTTTTGGCTTTGTCCTAGTGCGTCAGATGCCCCCAGCCCTGAGGACAAAGGGAACGCTACCGCCATTGATCCGCAAGCAGCGGCCTCAGATGCCGGATCCTTTCTTTGGCCTCGTTGTTGTACGGTCGCCTGTGGACCCATGGTTGTTTGTCCGCAAGCGCCTGTATGCGACAGTACGCGCCACTGTAGCTAGCGTCTGGGATTGTCAAACGGATGTCTTGCTGGATGCTCAAAGTGCATTCGGCCTGTTCGAAGCTGAACTGATCCGTGTCACTGTGGACATTTCCCCACGCTGAGGACCCAGGCAGCGCCTTCGCGCAATGGTACTGCATGGCCAAGAAAGCTGGGCATGCCGCTGGTGGAACCTGCAAAGTGGGACGCTTGCAGGGAATGGACCGGTGAGCTTGTACGGAAGTTTGCCCCAGGTGCAGGGGCGGATGATGTTTCCCCTGCTCCAGCTATGCAACTCTCCCTTCCCCTCAAGATTAGGCTTTCTTGAAGAGCGCGATTTCAGCTCAATAATTCACTCATATTCACTCGTTTTCGGCTCAATAATTCTGCAGCCGGTTCTTGAGCACCCCTCCTTGCCTATCAAGCCATTCTGGAAAGTCATTCACATTGGCACCTCACGGGGTGCATCAACAATCCAGAGATGTCCTTTGCGACTTAGTTTATTCTGGAGTGGTTAGTCAATACGAAAACATAGGTTGGTTGCAGCTTTGGTCCTTAATGACGGACAGCTGTAGCTGTGAAAGATGAAGTGGCGCTGGCCATGGTTCAACCTAATGTGAAGTTACAAAAAAGGTCGCTTTGAACCGTTGGCTGCAGCATGCGTGGGGATGGGGCTGTGCATGTTTATGTTCAAAGAGGTTAGAATGGAATTTGTTTTGTTGGTGATGAATTTGTTCGCTGTGCGGTGCCTTTGTCATTGACAAGGGTCCCAGCCCTGTAGGGCCTGGGCCAGCCTTGACGCTTGCCGCATTTGACTTAGGAGACGCGGTGCTTTGCCCGGGCACGTCTGTGGGCTGCCAAGGCCGGAACAGAACATGGGTTTGATTGCCGGAAATGCGTGTGTGCGTCAAGCAGCAATCTGCAGCATGATTGCTGCCTGATTGCGAGGCAGCTGAGGTTGGGTGTACGTCAGCTTGGATGATGTCGATAGTTGTATATTTGAGATTTGAGTTTCCACTGCGCACATAGTTGATAGCAACCGTTGCAGTCATCATTGGCAGCCGAGGATTGTTGTGGCCAGTTCTGGTTCACCAAGTGTTGGCTGAGGGCGAACCAAGGGGCCAAGCATCTGAAGAGCTCGAATAGTTCATTGAGAAGGAACAATATATGTGGGTTGATCAAAAAAGGTCCTTTACATAGGACGACCATCACCACTAAATGGGCAAAGTTACCCAAGGGGTCATTTGGGGGCCAGGAATATTGATCAACCCCTATATCATGGAGGCATCCAATCTGCATTCGTCCCGGCATGGTCTCGCAACTGGTTGCCTGACGCAATAGAAGCGATGCTTGCTTTGGAGCATGTCTACGGCCTGGCATGACATGCAGACCTATGCAGACTATTTTCTCGTGTGTGCTTTTTCCTGCGGCCCTAAACTTGAGGCGTGTTCAGCTTGTCTCTTTCCATGCGTGCACGCACCTTGATTGACTTCCGAACCATCTGAAGTTGTTTCCGGCCCCTACATTGCCAACCTGCAATCCGAGTTGGAGGAATGGCCTGCTGGACATACCAAAGCGGAATGCGTTATGAAGATCTGCTTCACTTGGTCTTGCCTTGCTGGAGGTAACACCTGCTGCCCTGATGGTTCTACCTGCCCATCAGCAGAGGAGGACTTTGCCTGCTGCCCGCACACGAAGAAGCAGGACCGCCCGGGATGAGTGTAAACATGTGTAAACTCGCAAGGTCGATTCACACGAAGCAGAAGAGAGGAGGGCGGCCTTTATTGGTTCCCTGTATTGGATGTGATCGGTGTGTGCTTCTGTGATCCTTCCAGAGCAAGGATTTTGTGCTCCCATTCCATGACGTCCGCCCCATGCCCACAGAAAGCTACAGGCTCTTCCAGGGCTTGGCCCCAAAACAATGTAGCCTGCTGCTCCTGGCACGCAAAGGTATCGCCTGTCTGGTGGGCTTCCCGCTTGAAGGGCGGGCGTTCTCCGGTTGTTCCGAGCTTGCCTCGAATCAGCGGTGCCAGCTCGGCGATTGCCCTTCCTCCCACCTAACGGAGAGCAAACATTTGAGTACTGGCGTCCAGCTGGGCAATTCCCTCAGACTTCCCCTGGCCCTTCCCACCGTCCTGCGCAAAAACAACAAAAGTTTGGCTGGCAGGATTGCTTGCCTCCCTCGGCTGGGCAGCTGTGTGCCTCGGCGGGGAATGCAGGGAATGCAGGCGCATGCAGGTGCATGAACTGACCCCTCCACCTCTTAGATAAATCTTGAAAGTGAGTTCGCAACGCAGTAGTACATCTGGTTTTGGCTGGCTAGGAACCTAAGGCTAATAGGAAGACAGCCACTTTGAGGGGTGCTCTTAGTTTAGCATCAATTTGCTAGCTTTGATCATATCAAGGCATTCCTCTTGACAGTTTCTATTTATTGCATTGAGCGGGAGGTGGGGCTGTGGGGCCGTGGGGCCCGCGCAAGCTCTACGCCAAACAAGTCGAGCCTTCGTGGCCTCGGAATTTCAGCCCAAAGCAAAGGAAGGGCCACTGGACTCACAGCTGTCCCCCCCCCCCCCGACCAGCGAAAAGCGCCGGTGGATGCTTCGGAGGTTTTTTTGGTTGCTGGCCTTGAAGGTTTGAGGCATCCGGGCAGCAGAAAACAAGGCAAAACGGGCGTTTAGGGCCCGCGCGAAACACTGCGTTTTACCAGTAAAAAAATCTCTCGGGCTAAACGCGCTGCCAAAAAAGTGCACTGGACAACATCTTTTGCGCTGGCTTGGCTTCCGGGTTTGAGTGAAGCCTCGTTGACATAACGATGCATCCATGGAAAACAAGGTTCCAGACCCGAAGGGTATTCAGGCTGGAACGTCGAGACATGCCTCCACCTCAGCGTCAAGGCTTCTGTGAGCTAGTCCTCGTTGACAGCAGCTCAGAGCCGAAGCACAGCACGTAACCGTTTCTAAACATGCAAGTGACCTGAATGAATAACACCCACCCCCCACCCCACCCTAGCGTCTGAAAGCGCCATTGATCACGCAAGTGACCTGAATGAATAACATGCCCCACCCCCCCCCACCCCACCCACCCCCCCCCCCCCCCACATGCATTGCAAACGCGCATGAAGCGCATGGTCCCCACATGTCCGTGTCACCGAAAACAAGAGGACCAGGGTTCCACTTTTGGACTAAGGGTAGACTTAAACCCAGGGGTGGGTGATTACCCTCCGGGGTTTAAGCCGATCTTGGGGTAGTCAAAAAGTGGAACCCTGAAGAGGACGGTGTTCTCATAGGCATGGATTGTCTCACTGCCCAGGCCTGCAGGAAGGCCGGCGGGTGTTCGGGTTTTCAGGGCTCAGGAAGGTTCCACTGACAGGGTTTGAGAAGACGGGAGGAAAATCGGGGAGGGCGACGTTGCATGTGGTAGCTTGGCAACAAACATGCTTACAAACAACAGGTTAATTGGTTCCTCGGAATGACAACACATGTCAACACTGGCAGGACTGGGTAATGTCGCCAGCACGTACCAGGTGCACAGTCTACACAGTCCATCCTCCAGGGAACAGGAAGCTTCTTCCCGCCCTACCATGCACATTGCGGATGTTGGATTTTAAGACTCAGCAATTCGGCCGTAAAATGACGTAAAGGTGATGCGAAGGAACAACATAATTGGTGTTATCACAACTCTTTCAATGCTTTCCCCCTAGATTTGACAAGCACCCACAAGGCCTACGCACACCAAGCAGTGGCTTGAGTTTGATCGGACCGGCAAAGCGCCCTTGCAGGCAAGCTGACGGACTGCTGGCAGTCTCCCTTGAGCCTGGTAGTGTGAGCGCTAACATGGAGTGCTTTCGTTTGACGTTTCCACACGACCTGACAACAGGTTCTTTGTTCATGGCAGCTCAGCAACTTTATATGAGACTCTGAGAGCATGCAGACATATGTGTGCGTCAATCCGCGGGTCCTTGGGTGCAGCTACTTGGGCTGCCTCTAGTGCGGCTGCGTTCGATGCTGAAGCTGATGCCTTGCGTCAGGGCAATGCCATTCATTTGACTGGTCACAGGATAGGGCAAGATCGCAACGTTGTCCGGTCATTTGGGCGAATCTCTTGATAGCATCCAGGAGGCTTGGATACCCTTCTGCATCCTTGGATGCCCTTTTGGCGTCCGGTGTCAGCCAGCCTCACGAATCCCAATCAGTTTTGACAAGCTTCGACTCTTTAGCGGCATTTAGAAGCGTTGCGGCTTCGGGTTGGCACATCGAGTCACAACAATGGCTACGTTATGCTACGGTATTTGCCTATGTTCTATCGAGCTCACTTGAGGGCATAATGAGCTCACCATGACAAAGGCCCTTAACTTGCGTTACTTGGGGATCCCTCAGTTCAGCTTTTGGATTTCTAATAACACTTGCAGATTTGTGCTTGGTTCCTTTACATAACTGCTCCTGGTTGCCCGTGCTCCGTTTCAAGCATGCCAGACGTTGACTGATTTGTCACTCTGACTATTGGACGGTGTGACCGTGCCAGGTGTTGACGAGGTTTACAAATTTGGGTTGGGTGCCAAGTCAGCAGGCGGCCACATGGATGCAAACCAAGATGCTCGACTGGCGATGATTAGAGCAGAGATCAGTGCTTCTGAAGGTGATGAGTTCTTATTGTTTCCCATTCAATTGTGGTTCGGCTGCCCAGTCTTTCCCCGCACTGTGATTCAGGTGGCCTGTTCGTCGGAATGACGTGCCAACGCCAAAGCCGGCAAATGCCCAATCAACTGCCAATCGACGCCTATAGCGAGGTACAGACATTGCAATGCCTACTCTGACGTTCTCCGATGCGTTCAATGCCCTCATTCATATAGGTCCGTGTGCCTGTGCCAAACCCGAACCCGAGCAACCAGCATGTTTCTGCATGTAGCCGACGAGTGGGGAGCGGCAAAATGACGAGAGGGCATTGCTTTCGCTGCTTGCATTGAGGACCCTGGGAGGCCCAAAACCCAGGAGTCAATGATGTCAAAAGCAAGTTTGACCTGTGGGCTTCTTGAGGCATGTTTCGCAGTGTTTGCATCAGCGCCTTGTTACACGCTTGCGGGAACAAGCTCTGACTGGAGAAATTACGGCGGAATTGAGATGGAATTTAGCAGTGGGTAGCTCATCAAGCAACGTGGCAATGATTGGCTCTTGGACAGGCAATGAGTCTGCGGGCTGCTGCGTCCAATCCGAAGCCCCTTGGTTTGTATGGCAACTGGTAGAGGATGCCCGAAGACTTGCCGAACAGGCTCTAATAATCCATAATTACCTGTTTTATGCCTGCCTGCCTTGGGCTCAAGTGTGATTAGGAATCCCGTGGTCACAGGCTGCAGGCTGCAGGCCATTTCAGAGCGAGAGGAGGGGAAGGGAGCAAAACGGCAAGAGTCGGACAACTGTCGGTGTTGCATTCTGTCGTCGAAGCCTGCTGTTGCTGCTGTTGCTGCTGCTGCTGCTGCTGCTGCTGCTGCGCGGAGCATCAGCAACAGGCGACAAGCACGACACAACAAAGGACAGTCGCCAAACAGACAAGCAATGGATAGCAATCAACAAAGATCAAGAAACAAGCTTGCTTGCTCTTGTCACGAACCTCACTCAGAATTTGTGGCCAGGTCATGGGTCGCTGGCATGACCGGTCGAGATCGCCCAAAGCGCGCGGAGCCCAGACGTTCAATCAGTCATACCTATGTGTCTGGGACAACCTCGAGCATACCCTCAAAACGAGTTGCGTTTACACGTTGCAGGCAGGTAGCGCTTCAGCAATCCAACATTTGTGCTGTGGAACATGTTTCCTAGCCTACCGGAACCCCAGTGACTTAACCCAATCTGAGTAAGTGCTGCGCAGGCCAGAAACGACTGGGCACAGACGCACCCTGCAACGTAGAATATCTATACAAATAGATATACATAAATATAAATATATACTGCATATAGACAGGTATGCATATCTGTTTGTCTACTTAGATGACATGGATTGTTGACGTGCTAGTCCTTGCAAGCTCGCCCAGGGGCAAAAGACAATGGGTCTCCAAAACCCTGGCAAGCTTCGGCCGCTACAAAGACCGCAGGCGCGAGTGTGAGGATTTGGGGGTTGGGCCTGTGAGCACGTTGGAATTCTCAATTCGTGAACGCAGGTGATGTGGCACATCACCTTTTTTGCCACTGACAGTATCTGAAATTATCTTGGGTCCCACACGACAGCTGGCCTCGACGCCTGCCCGAGCTGCACCAAAGGGGCGACCCGATGTTGCCAGATGCATGCTCGGGCGCCATGGCTTTCCATGTTGACTTCCGCAAGCTTGGGGCCATGGACTTGTGTGAAACTGGATGGGCTCATGCAAAATCTGAGCACCATCATGCGCGAAGGCTCAGCTTGTCGTGCAACCAGCTTTCGGTTTCAAGTGATGGGGGGCACTTCCGAACGCCAGGCCGCAGGGCCTCGAGGTGGACCACTCAGGCTGCCTGTTGCTTTCCAACCTCATGGAAGTCTGGGGTCACAGCCAAGGCCGGGAGCCGAATGGGCTCGCTGTCACCAGGGTTGGCCAGCAATCTTATGTGAATTGCCGCGGCCTCGCTTTTTCGACATTTCTGAAGTGGCTTGAGAGTTCAATTTGCTGTGTGTTCAAACTGTGGTTCCAGCCTCTTCTGTCTTCTTTTTGTGCAGCCATAACCTGACGTTCAGCAGCGGTGGGAAACATAGCATGTCTTTCTAGCATGGGGCTTGTTAAATTTGATTCACTGCAAAGCCAACATATCTTCCAACATACGTGGTACGTTGTCAGGCGTTGGTCCCGTTGGTTGGATAGAGTGCAAGTGGCAACTGTCAAATCATGGTGCCTTGTCGCAACCAAAGGCCAAAACAGTGTTGGCAGCAGAAAGTAGTTGGCTTGAAAGTGCCAGATCCTCCATCTCCTTTTTTTGTCAGCACCTGACCTTTGCGTGCAGAGTCGGCGCACATTTTGGTCGTCAATTCTGCCAGGATGAACATGCTGTTTCTTTGGGGCATCAAAGTGCAGGCCTGGCGGACGAAGATGTGCTCACCGCAGTGAAGGAGAATTTGATCAATGAGCGTCGGGGCCTAAAACAATTGTCCTGGATGGAAAGGTACCGGGTGCATAGAATGGCTTTGTCATTTGTCTTTCGGGCTTCATGAATGCCACTGCACGCTCTTCTTAATCAACATCGCGCTCTCGACTTCATGATGTGTCCTTAATGCTTCTTTGCGGGAGGGGCGCTGCGTTTTCTTATGCAGATATTTGGCAGCCCCGCGGAGTCTCAACTCGGTGTTACTCTTACGCCTTGGCTTTGAACTGCTTCCAGCCATCCATGAGCAAACTTGGCTTCCTCCTGACCAGGCCTGGCCAGGGACAGCAGCAAGATCTGCAACCTTGCCTGTGATGTCAAGATTGTGGGATAACTGAGGCATGAAAGCTTTGATCCTTTTTGGAAGTTTTCGGGAGCCTATGCTCCCGCGCATATTTTCTTTTGCAAACTTCTTGGCATGGCCAGCTTTTTCAAAGCTGTTGCAACAGTTGCGCTCTGACAAGGCGCCCCCCCAATTCATGTGAACCTCCCAAACAGGCCCCAAATTGTCTTGCTTTCGCGTGACGCGTGAGCGGGTGTTGAGCTTCCAGCGTATGTTTGGTGTGTTTAACAAGCTGTACCATGCCCGTGGAGGCTGTCCCTTGCCGCGTTCAGGCACTGGCGGGGCTCGCTTTGTGTTGCCGGGCGGCCTAGGGCTGCTTCACCCAGCATGCGAGGAGTGTCTGCAAGGCCTTCGCCCGAATGCGAATTGGTCGCCGCTTTAAACGTGGAGCCTGAAAATAACCACCAGAAAGCTCCTGGTTCGCTTCCTGGCCGGTTGGGGTGGAGAGAAGCTCAGCCCCGAAACGCTGAGGACACCAGCCGCAGGAGCCCGGGAGCTCAGCATCCACCCCACAGCCATGCCAGACAACGTGGCACTTGCCGTGCATGTCGTTGGTTTCCCGTGGCCTGCGAAAACCCGCTTGCACCACATCGCGGCCCGCCCAAATATTGTGCACGCCAGACGGTCAGCAAGGTCTTCGGCCGGTTTAAGTGTCGTTTGTCGACTTGTTGAGTGCCACCTTACCACCTAGCGGGCCAAGCGCGAAGGGTAGTTGTGCCTCTTGGCACGCGCGGACAAGGGAGGAGGGTTGACTCAAAACCACTTTGCCCGTTGCAAGGATTGGCAGATCCAGGTGCACCGGTCTGGCGGAGGCCGGGGGCTGGGTGGAGGATGTGGATTTGCCAACAGTTGGACTACACAGAGCTCGATGCATTTTGCCCCAAAAACACCGGGGCTTGTTTTCACCAGGTTTTTCCAGCAGTTTGACACTTATATTATCAAGATAGACGAACACCATATTATCTCTTTGGTTGGGCGAGAGCCAACTAAACTCTGCCCTCGTGGATTGCTAGGGCCCACGCCACTGAGAGCCGTGGGAGTGTAGCGTCAGTGGGATGCCAAAGTGCACAAATCACACATAGGGTGCCATGTGCATGGCTTAGCACAGTGCACGTTGACGTCAGCGAACAAGGATGAAGGCTTTGCAACGCTCAGGGCTTTAGGCAACCAAAGTGTCCAGGATGCTCTTCAACAAATGCTGGGTGCTGTGCATCGGGGCCGCGCCGCGCTAGATTGGGCGTCCTCTGGCGGCGGATGGAAAGCAAACTCCAACGCTGCGCCCGCTACCAATAGCTGGCAAGCAGCGCCCCCAGATTGAGCCAAGGAAGTTCTGAAGGGCCTCCTCCCAAAGAGTTGGGCCCTTAAGAGCTTTTGTTTGACGTTTTTGGCCCAGCCCTAAGCCCAGTCCGAGGCTCTTGGGAATCCAAAGCTAGCGACATGGTGAGCTGACGCTCGGTGTGACGCCATCAGGGTCTTGGAATTTCAGGGGTCTCGGGCAGAACCGCGAGGCCGTTCTTCGAGGCTCAGCGCAATTTGACCTTTGGCGGAACAAATTGTGGGATCAGCTTTGGATCGAAATTCTGTCTTCAGACGCTTGATACCCCCAGGCATGCAACATTATTCTGCACTGGCTGGCTGCACAACATTCGCCCTGGCCGGCCCTAATCATGTACAGATATGTTATTCCTAGTTGCACGCGAGAAACGCACTCTTGCACCTGTCACCTTCCCTCCAACAACCATGGCTGCAACACTTTGCCCCCAACCGTTTCCTTCCATAATTTTGGAAGAGAGAAACTGCCGACTGAACAACCCTTTGTTCGGGATTCCAACCTTGAAAATTGCGAGACTGCTTTAGGGGCGCTTACCCCCTTGGGCCCATTCTGTAGATGGAATGGCATTGTCCCTGAGTGACGTGTTGCCGAGCTATGTTTGGTGAGGGCTGACTCTGCCTTCCTATGACCCTTCACTGATGCCTGTTCAACCGTGGACACTGCCACGTAGCTCTTTGCATCCAACCTCAGGGCCGCTCCAACTGTTTTCATGTTGGCTTCTTTGTAAGTTTCTCTGGTAAGTGTCACACCATGAGGCACAGGAATGCAGCATGTGGGCTACCTTCCGCTTGTTTAACTCTGCGTATCTCTGCGTCAATCCATGGGACGGGATGGTTATCTATCAGTTTGAGAGTCATGCTTAGGTAAAACACCAGGAGGAAGAATGGTAAATGGCAGTGAGTACTCACCTCCCGGAACATCCCTCAATAACAAATACATTTCCCCGTGATGATGAATATTATTCTGGGAAAACAAGTGCTTCTTAAAAGGGTCCCAGGGTCCACCACGAATTCCTCTGCCACGGAAACCTGCAAAGTTGTAATGCGCCACACAAGGAATGGAAATGAAGTGGCGGTGTGGCGTTGGTTTAGGATCGGCAAAATTCCAGTTTAGCATGGGGATTTGAAGAACAGCTACGTATTCATCAAATTCGAAGTTTAGAGGTAACTTCCGCCGGCGCGAAGTGAAGGCTAGCTGTCGTGTAAAAGTAGAAGGAGAAGAGAAGAGACTGTCGGGAAAAAGTAGATGAGAGAGGAAGGGGAAGAGACGAGAAAAAGCGAGAAGAAAGAGAGGCAACAAGAAGAAGTGGCAGGCGTTCAGGCGCAGCACGAGGGCAGGCGCAAAGCTTTTGCAAGCTCAGTTGTACAGACTCCGTGAGGCACAGCACTTTCGCAGAGTCAGGCGCAGATTGTGTGACAGGCGCAACTCGTGCAAACATGTTGGAATTTGTTATTCGCAAATCTCAATGGCACGCACGCGCACACAAGCTGTTGCGTGCCGATTTCGCGGCGGCGCAGCACATTCGCGTGGCAGGCGCGGCGCTTTCGCAAGGGGATGTGCAGTATGTGCAGCTCGCGTGGCAGCGCAGCACTTTTACAAGGCCAGGTGCTGCAGCTTGGAGCACTCATACTCAGGTTTGTTGAGAAATTGATAGGTAGATAGATAGCAAGATAGATAGATGGACAGGGATCCTCAAAAGATACATTTTGCCCATTTGAAACATGTTTTTTCCACCCAAATAAAGGGACACCACCATTTACAATGCAATGTTCAGGTGTAGAATGTAAGGATCCCTGCTGGATCGCCTGGAAAGATAAACGGGTGGATAGACAAACAGATAGGTAGGTAGGTAGGTATGGATCTTGAAACCTCGAGAGGTAGATATAGGTTGATAGATGCTGATAGACACACAGATAGGTAGGCTGGTAGGTAGAGAGATATATAGATAGATAGATGTAAATGTTGATAGATATGCAGGCTACCTAGGTAGTAATAGATAGTTAAATGCCATAGATAGTGAGACCGATGGGTAGACACACATAGATAGACAGGTAGGCAGTTCGGTAGGTAGATGAGACAGATAGATAGACAGTTGGAGACATGGACTTCAAATGATAGATTTGTTTCGATGGATACATGGACACTTTTATACGTAGATAAATGGATGGGATATCAATGTAGGTAGATTGCAGATATATAAGGTAGGTTGATTGGCAGACAGGCCGGTCGATCCATTAGTCGACCGATAGACAGACAGATAGGAAGACCAGGCACACAGATAGATAGACAGATAGCTAAACAGCCTGGCAGTTAAATGGGTAGGAAGAAGGATGGGTAGATAGATTTGTTAGATTAGATGAGGCCAGATTTTGTCAGATGACATTTGATTCGTTTAGCTAGATAGATGGGCAGAAGATAGATCAGGTGAGATTAGGCTAAACCAGGTGACGTTAGATTAGACCAGTTAGAAAGCTAGATAGAGAGTTAGAAAGAACAATCGGAAGAGAAAAGGGAAGATAACTGTGATCTTTGTGAGGCATTTTCTCGACAGACAGGCATTCAGGAAAGAACGAGAGGGGAACGAGACAGAGAAAGCGGAGGGGAAGAAAAATATCAAGAGAAGGAGACAGAAGAGAAAGAGAAAGAGAACAGGAAAGCAATAGAGAAACGGCTTTGCCCGCTCTGCTGGTATGTTGAAAAACCAACACGGAAGCGACTAGTGCTTACTGTGATATTCCGACTTCTCGCCAAAACCTTGAAGCCCCCGGCTGCAAAGCACCAAGGCCAATACGAAGCAGGAGTGGGGTGAGCCCTGGAAAGACAAGTGGAAGGACCCCAAAGACTCGAAAGACTGGAAGAAGGAGGACGCTCGTGTGGGCTTGGGCAGTGTTCCCTAGGATGCTCGGAGCGCTTCGGTGTTTCATATTCAGATGGGCCAAGTATTGGTGCCGCAGGAGCATTCTCAAACGGGTCATTCGCGTCACGCATGGCAGGTGCATCATGAGAGGGGCTCGGGTTCGAACGAAGCTTGCGAGAAGTTAGACCAGGAAATGACTGCGACCCTGGAGGCAGACAGAAGCAAAGCTGCATCAAGCAAGGAGGGTACACTGCAAACAGCATCAACCATTGGAGGGTTGAGTTGCAAGCTGCGTTGGCCTAGCGTTCGGCAAGAATGTGGAGCAGAGATGACACAAGGGTAAGCTCGTTCGTAATTGATTTGATACCACAAGGGAACCACTAGGCTACCAGCACAAGAAGTTGGCCATGACCGTCTATAGGCATTACATGAGTCATCGTTCTTACGCTACTTGGTTAGCTTTGATTTTGGCAAGGGCCCTTCAACAATGATGATAATGAAAGGGAAAGGTAGGTGGCTTCAGGCAGTAAGACCTGGAAATGTATGAGTCGTGTCGCCCGTGCTCTTTGAGCAGATCATACTACTGAAAACTAGCATATCAGAAGTACAGAGCTGTTTCAGCAAGAACAAGTCTTGATTGCTGCCGCCCGTGCGACGCAAACGGATGATGGCGGAACTGCCTCAAGCATAATTTATCACGATGTACTTTTTGTGTCCGCGGTCAAGAGCACGTGGTTGACCCCATGCTCAGCAAACGCGACTTTAAATGTTTGCAATGTTCATGAGTCTGAGGCAAACACCTGCATCCCACCGGATGTTTATTGCAAGAGATTCTGGATGAATCAAGCGCTCAGTTTTGATCGCTTGCTCGGCTCGCGTGTCAGGATGCTTGGGGCTCCAACTCCTGGACTGCACCGGCCTGGCTCCAAGGGAGTCCATTGAAGCCAAGTGGCAGGGAACATGACGGATGCGTTTTACAGGCGCCAACATAGCCAAGCGCTGGCTTTCTGCGTGCAGAAGTTTGGCCACGCCGGTCCAAGGTCAAGGAGGAGAAGACCGATGACACCTGGGCCCAGTCTATGCCTCGTGTGCACGGCCTTGGATTCAGAGTCCAAGATGTCATCCCGAAGTGACAGCTTTCGCCATTTGTGATTGTTAGCCTACTGGGTCAAACAGTCAAACAGGACCCGAAGAAGCGAGCCCGGGCAAGTGGTTTATCCAGTTGCTAGGCCACTTGAACATGCAACAGCTGTAGAGTTCTATGTTGCTTGCCATATCTTGCCATTCCCCCCGAAGCAAACACATACGTTTGATATCCCATGTTATAACAATACTGGTTGCATATGCAGCCCTCCGTTGACGGATAATAAAAGAACCACCTCGTTTCAGCGTGCAATCAGCTTGGTGATTGGTTCGAGGTCAGAATCCAGACAGAACTGGACGAAGTCATCTCCGGGATGGTGCGCTCGGGGCGGCGTCAAAGTGCTAATCGCCTCTCAAAACTGCACACTTACATTCCCTGCATGATCCTCTGCAGATTGTATGGATCCACTAAGTGTATCACCAATCGGCCTTTGGCAATGGAGTCAACCTTCTGCAGCTGTGCCTACCCACCCATGTTCATGGCATTCGCGCAGGGGGCACTACCCATGCACCTTCCCGTCAGCAAGACAGGATTATGATTGCACTTGCTTGGCGATCAAAGATCCGTGGGATTTCATGCACAATTTGGCCAAGGACAGGTCTGTAGCATATTTCCCACTCGCGCCAGGCGCTTTCAGGGCAACCAGGCCAGCCAGGCCAACGCAGCCCCCCCTGAGCACAGCTCTGGGAACAGCTGGAACAACTCGAGCAACAGCTGGAACTCGAACCACTCGCAGTCTCGCCGACAGCTTGGCACCCAGAGTATGAGTGAGCAGTCTTAGATTGGGCTTCTGAAATTAAAGGACTTGCCAAGTCGCCTTTTCACAAGCCGAATTCAAGCCAGCCATTTGTAGGGGTCTTCGAGAAGCACCAATCAATGTGTTGGCAAGTGACACGGATGTCAGCAACACGACTGCATAATGGACACCCTTCATTAATCGGACCCCCCCATCCCCCCCTCAACAATCAATCCCCTGGAAATAGATGACCACCCAACCAATTGGTTTAGAATTGGGTAGTATGGCTGGGGTCATTTTTGAGTGTCCATTTGATCTTGTACTGCTAAATGTGTTGTTCAATTGTGTTCCTGGTTGGGAGGGGGGGAGACGGTGTCAAGAAATCATTATTTCGGGGGGGGGGGTATAAAAAAAGTGTTTTTTTTCTCAAGTGCTTCCCGCCAACCCCCCCCCCCAAGCCTTGTGGGATTGAAGCTATGCAAATAAATTTGAGTTTGGAGATTGTTGTTGTTGTCCCCCCAAAAAGAATACATTCTTGACTCTCCTTTGTTTGAAGTTCATTGTTTCTGTGGATTCCGTTGAGCAGTTGATTTGGGCTGGATTTGCTTTTCATATGCGGCCCTTGGAGCTCAGGTCGAACTGGAAAGGCGGGGATGCACGCCTCTTTCTTTTCCGCGAGCTTTTCGCAGGGCGGTTTCTGGTGTTTTCGGTGTTCCGTTTCTTGAAGCTTGGAGCGCTTGTTCTTGCGGAAGTGTATGCTTCTTGTTTGCAAACTGCCAAAGGAGGTCCTCCCATGCAGGTCACCAGGACAAACCTGAGCAGATCCAGCGCTTCATGGGCTACCTCTTGAAGAATGGGAAAGAGGCCGCCGCCTCAGTTGTTGCCATTTGAACATAAACCAGCTGGCTAGGGTTTGCATGCCTGAGCCCATTATATCCTCAGTGACAGCTTGTTAGCTTCCAAAACTCATGGTGGGCAAAAGGTCTTGACAGATTGTCAGCTAGGGCACCATAGCTGAAGACTCAGACACAAACCAAGAATATGTCCGAGTTAATTCGCCAGGTCCCCTTGGAGAATTGTTCATCCAGAGAGCAACCACATGCTGTTCTCTCAATTGAGGCGTTCTGCCGCCTTGGTTGTGGATGGGCTTACTCCTTTCTGACCTTGAG